AGTAACAGGTGCCTTACTAGTAGTAACAAGAAGCGAACGTAGTAACACATTAGAATTAATTTAGAATTTTGTTCCACTGTTTTTCCTCCCAACAAAACACCAAGCCAGCATGTACAAACAAGTGGAAACACAGTGCTCAATGAGCAGCAAAACCGTCTTTCTTTGTTGCAGAAGACTCGGAGACCGGGCAGCCCCCAAAGAGCTCCTCCCCGCACGCCCAGTCTCCTTTCGTTTCGTCGTTTCGTCCGCCAGGTGGCTTCTTGGCCTTTCCAGCGGCCACCGTCAGGGAGTCCTCCTCAGACATGACTTCTGCGGGGAAATGTTCGATGATCTCCACTGCTTCCATGGTGACGAGGCCTGGCGAGTATGTTGTGCGTCCGTGAGGCGTTTTGTTTGCAAACAGAGAGATGGTGAGCACCAAAGAAAGAAACAAAGGTGTTGGCGTTGTTGACTGTGGTAAAGAACGCATTGAATCATATTGAATCTATTCAAACGAGAACAAAGTATCTGAGGTTCAGGATTCACAAAACACCCACTAAAATGGACTGTCGAGAAACATCTATGCAATCGTGCTTCGACGTTTTGCCATTCTGATTTTCTCAAAAGAACATGTCTGGAACACGAACTTTCGCCCTGGCCTTGGAACACATAGGCTCGCAGGTCTCGATAACGATCCACTGGATGCTTGTTCACCTCCGGTTCGTCTCGTGGTGTGAAGGGCTGTGCTGAATGCATTGGCAGGACCAAGAGCGCCGCTAGGAGCAAGGGCATCGCTACTAGGGGCTCCTGGCCTTACTACTAGTAACAAGAAGCTAGTAGAAACAATATATAAATTAGAATTAGCCCAGCTGGAGACCCCAATAGCAAGATACAAACCGGGACAAAAAGAAAAATCTGGAAACAGCTGCTGTTTTCAACACATCGACCATCTCTTCCTTGGACACCATCATCACATAACCGGGACACCATCACAAAATGACCAGGGCACCATCAAAACATGACCGAGACACCGTCACAACATG